TGAACATTGTATATAAAATGTGAACATGGGAATGTGTGTTTTTCACCAAGGCAACGCCATGGTTTAGAAATTGCAGCTTGTATTCTTGTCAACATCTTGATATCAATGTTAGATATCAATGTACAAGATTCTATATACCGATTATTATGTAATTTTGTTGTATTTTGTAGTAGGGATGCACGAAGGGTTTCAAAACGCCTCTTCTATGAGACGAATGCAACCTAGAGGAGCAATGCACATATGCCAAACACCACTCTATCTTAAAATGACACATACAATGGGTAACTAGTGAATTAATTGGACTAACTAACGGGTCTCAATATGAAAACAACAACGCAAAGAATTAAATATCTAAATTATATGAAAAATAGTGTTATAAAATAGGTTTGGTAATGGGGAGGAACGTTCCCGGTCTATGTCAAAAAAAAAAAAAGAAATGTAGGTCAGGAGTTAGGACTTAGGCCTAAGGAGCTGTAATGGGTGTAATGAATGATGACAATGAGGAAGAGGAAAGGCAAATAAAGAAAATAAGTGTTGAGGAACTAGTGTTTTCTTTTTGGCAAGGCAGGACGCGTGCAATCAAGTCTCCCACTCCAACTCTACATTCTTGCTGCATGGACCACGTTGATACCCAATTTGCTTGGTTTTAATGCACCACATTCATGTGATCTCACTCACTCACTCTCTCTCTCTCACACACACACACATTTGGCACTATGCTAGTACAATTTTTCATGTTCAAAATTAAAGTTCACACGTGTTATGCTTTGTTTATGCAATTATATATAGGAGGATATACGTGTGGTGTGTAACACCACTGTAAAGCAAAAAAATTTTTTTTTCTTTTTTTGTCAGACACCATTACAGTTAGAGGGAGGAGAAGGATGAAGTTTGAATCTCAAATAAGATGTAGGCGGCAACTTAAGTCTCATACTGAATATAATTGAGAGAGAAAGAACAAGGCTTATATCCCAATGTTATGAAAACAAGGATAAAACAAGCAGCAGCAGGAAAAAAGAAAGGCTGGGTACGTAATAGAAGAAGTGTATTGTATTGTAGATAATTTGTATTTATGGTTCAGTAATTTTGGTTAGAATGCCATTAAGTAGAGGTATATATATATGTAGGTACTGGTCTGGTAGGCAGCCACATCACAAAGGAGAAGGATGAGTAATAAGGACAGTGCAAAGGGTGGCAGCAGATCCCAGAAACCAGCCCGCAATTACAACCGAATTGTATAGGTTTATTCATAGGGGAGTGGGATACTGGTGACAGTAACGGGTCATGGTATGGGTTTGCACAACCGTCCATAACAGCCGTAAAGATGATTGATTCATACAAAGCCAAAAAAAAAAAAAAAAGAGAGGAGAAGGGGGGGGGGGGGGGGGGGGGGGGACAGTTTTTGAGACTGTGGACCTATTTTGTTTTCTCTGTGGATGGACCCACCCACCCACCTGGATGGAATTGTGATTCATGACCTGGCTTGCCCTCGCATTTATCTTTCGTCCTACTCCTACTCCTACTCCCACCACAACAATTGCTTTTTTTCTCCCTCATTTAATGCCGGAGTACACTGATTGTGATAAGGTATATCAAACTTGGTCAGTATTGCATCCCAACTAGTCAATCTCCCCCCCCCCCCCCCCCTCTCTCTCTCTCCCTCGCCACTCTAAGCTTTTCCTTTTTCTTCTTTTCCCTACTTTTGTTCTCACTCGAGTAGCCTTCGCTGGATAGTTGTTAATGCTCTTCCCTCACAACTATCTTATACCTTTAAGTTTCTGATCTCCACCTCTTTATTTTGCTTTAAACAGAGTTTTGGGCTGCTTCTATTATAACTGTGTGACACAGAGAGGGAGAGGGAGAGGGAGCAACTATATATAAGCAATTGAGACCTAAATATTTGACTTAATTTATTGATGTAAAAGTATCGCTAACAAGATTTTGTATTTTAACTATTCATAAGTATATATTTTTTTTATATTTTAGCTACTCCTTTTTTTAATATATATTCCAACAAATTTTTTATATTTTAACTATTTTTTTTTTAAATATTATTTCTTATATCTTGTACCTTTGTTAGGACTATTAAAGAGGGAGAGAGAGAAAAAATGAAGGAAAAGGCAAAGAGTAGATAAGAGAGGTGAAAAAATGACTAGAGAGGTGAAAAAATAACAGGAGAAAAGAGAATATATTATAAACTATTTTTATATAATGCTACAATGACGAGAGATTCAATGTCGAAATTTAGCTTGGAGATGCAGTCGATACTCAACAAGAGAAGAAACATGAAGTGGACTGAGATAGAAACTCGTTTTTCCTCTCTTTCATGATTGATGAGGCGACAAGGGCTGAGAGCCTAAGACGTTTTATGTCTGTTGTTTTTAAGAATGAAATCTATTGGGTACACATTTTAAATCCATTATAACCCATATACTTATACCAATCAATAATACTCAAACTCTCTATTACCCATATAATAAAAACAAGTATTCAATCATTAATTTATGAATAGATTGGGTGAATTGATGAGTTATGGATCAAAATTATCACCTCTACTTGTAACCGGTGGATTAACACAAAGTTTTAAGTGAAAATTGAAACCAAGTATAATACGAGGAATTCTTTTGTTAATGGACAAATGCAATATCTTTGGATTAATAAGGGCATATGTCATGTACTTTTTTGTAAGGAGGTCCAATAGTCACTTTACTTCTTTTTTTTTTTTATTTTGATTTTCAGTGAATTACACATATCTTTTCAAAACTCTTCTCTCTTTCTTTAATTTCTCTCTCCTCTCTCTTCCTTTAGTTTCTTTCTTCTCTCTTTTATCTCATTTACATTCTATATCATTCTTTATCTCTCTTCTTTCATCATCTTTGTTCAATTCATCGTCAGATTAAAAATATCATAGAATGAAGAAATGTAACAGATTTTTATCATAATCAAGCTTGATGGTGTCCAAAGAGGATTGGTTTGTTCGTTCCCATCCATATCATGTTCGTTTTCTTTTTTTTTTTCAATCTTAATTTTTCTCTGTGTGATTTTTTTTTTTTTGTTAGCTATCTGTTTTTGGATGATTGTTAGTTTTTCTGTGAATCCCAGATTTGTCTTGCTAAGTTGGGGAGAAAGTGTGAGAAAAAAAGAAGAAGAAACTCTTTCGTGAGATAGTAACAAAAATACTGTTATTGTCGTGGGACACTAACAAAGGCATTGCTATTGTTTGGAGATAGTAACATCAAGCTTAATGAGTAGTGTCGTAATGTGTATTTTTTATTTTTTATTCAACACCAAGTTCTAATGTTTAATGGAGTTTACAGTGAATTAAGTCAATAAATTATATTTCAATAACATTGCTCTTTGTTTAATTTTTGATTTGTGTATTTGATTTTGTTTGAGTTTTAAATTGTATTTTGAAATATTTTTGGATATTTTGGTCTTTGTACAAATACATGTCCTTAAAATCCCAAAAAATATCTCCTTGAATATTTCCTCCTAAAAGTCCAAAACACTATACCAACTTTAATTCAAAAATCCCAAATTTTAATGTTATATCATACCCACTCTCAATCCAATAACTATAATGAATTAGATCATAATAACATTACTCTAATTAAAAAGGTAATGCTAAAGCTAAAGCTAGGATAGTGACGTAGCAGCCTGCTTTAAATGAGAAAGCATGGCCAGTAATCTACTGCATGCAGTGTAATATTCCTGTGTGTAAATAATGAAATTTTAGGAGCGGGGATATGGTACATGGAGGTTTAATTGCCAAGTCATGGGGCCGAGGTCCCCCACTTCATGATTTGTTGGTGAATGTATGAATATGGGCAGTCCTTGTAATTATAAACCGGCATATATATAATCCTCCAACGCCTTATGTGGTACCAGCACTAGCTGGGACCAAACTCATTTTTATTCTTCATCACCGGCCTTCTTCGTTCCTAAGTAGTCATCTGTCCTTCTCCATCATCAGTACACGACTTTGATGTTAATTTCTCCTTTATTTTTTCGTACCCTCCCTTCTAGTGTGTGCGTGAGAGAGAGAGAGATGCTGGGTGGAGTGGCTTATTACACCATGGTTTCATCATGACCACTTCAACCTCATTACAACCGAATGGTTATTAAACGCACCGGTTCAACGGTCAATGAACAAGTGTAGAGAGAGAGCTAAGGATTGTGGCGTTTGTGTGGACCAGTAGTTGCATGGAGCTTCTTCGAAGTGCCAAACAGAACAAACAAAAATTGGCCCAACCTCCACTTGGGCTTTGAGCCATCTTGTTCAAATAACTCGTCTCAAACGCGGGCCGGACCCTTCAAATTTTGTGTCCAGCCATCTTCTTTTGTTGAACTGAGCCTGGTCTCTTTTTATAAGAATTGGGTCCTTGAGCCTAGCCCAATAGATTTGACAGTGGGATACGAATCCAGCCCATGCCGAGATCAAATTTTTGAAGGCCGGTCTACAATTGTGGTCTTTTGGGTCAAGTAGCCCGGGTACTAACATTTTAAGGGTTTTAAAGGACAATTACGTGCGTAAATACGAAAATATCCCTAAAAAATATAACAGTAATGCTAAATTGATCAAATTTAAAGCCCAAATAATATGACAGTTTACTCGGACTTCTTTGATTGATGTCATGTCATTTGGGCCCCAATAAAAATTTCAAATTATCAACTGCCATGTCATTTGAGCTCTAAATTTGATCCTAAAATTTGATCAATCTAGCATTACTCAAAGTAAAAACCTTGATGACAAAAACTATCGGCCATCCTCCCTTTACTGTGATATCACTGTCACTCAGGTCGTGTATATATATATATATGAAGAGATGTATTCAAATTTTTAGAGTAACTTGAAAATTTAATTTATTGTTATCGTTGGATTACTAATGAGTCTCTCAACATTAGATGGAATGCATCACTAATTTAATAGTCTCTGAATTAAATTCCTAAGTAGCATTACAGATTCACTGGGGAATATAAAGAGGATGTGATTAAGCAAGGAAGAATTGGCATACAACACATGATGATCGTGCTAATTAATTATAAGAACAAGCTATTCAAATCAAACCAACAAGCATGCATATAGCGGGAGATCCTAAGTATTACACAAAACATATATATACAAAGAAACATATATATGATAAGCGACGATGGAGATTGTTACAATACTAAAGATTGCATTTTACATGAGGCAGCAGGCATTGACGTTGTCGTCATTGAACATGTTGCTAACTTTATCGTCTCCCCGATGACTGATGGGAATGGTGCCATGCTTGTCACCGACGTTGTACCCATGCCTCCAGTAGTTGTAGCTCTCTTTGAACTCGCTGGTCGTGTCTTTGAAGTAGTTGTTTGCCGATGTGAAGTACAAAGGTGGATTGGGGTATGGCCAGAACTCAGCCCTCTTCCCCGCCCTCCTCACTGCCTTAAGCACCTTGTTGCGATCAACGTACCCAATCACTGTCACCTTCTCCATTTCTATGTCCACCTCTACCGAGTCAATCCCTGACCACGCATATCAAGTATATATGCTAGCTATAATCATCTTTTTTCTTCAAATATATATAATAATGCTTATTGCGGTGTAGGAAACCTTATTGGGAAATAATATTATCATATTGATGCTTGAACTCCATTGGAAAAAAACAAACCAATCAACCCATTAGATTAGAACGACAATATTCATGTTGCAAACTTTTCCTTCATGTTCCTTCCAGTTCCAGTACAAAGATGGGTGATATATTTGTATGTACCTCTAAGCTTGTGGATGGCATCTCTAACAACTCTCTCGCAGCCAGTGCAGCACATCCTCACTTTGAGCTCTACGGTCTGAATAGTAAACACGGTTCAAATATGCTTTTCCACAAAAGTAAACACGTTTCTTTGCTTTCTTCTTATTCCTTTGTTCCTTTTGTCATCTTTAATTGCTAACCTTTTTAACCATGCATGCATTTAATATTGTTGAAACAAACAAGGACATCAGTTTGAAGCTTAATTGAATTTTTCCTCCATTTCTTGCCGATCAATGCGCACTATTCGGACTTAATTTATTGACTTAATTCACTATGACCTTTGAATTCACTATGGAGTCCATCAAACATTGAAACTTACTATTGATCTAATAATTTCAATGCAACCATATCATTAGATCAGTAAATTATGTTAAATTTTTTCAAATAAATAGTATTAGTCTTTCTTGCCACATCCCATCTGACCATAATAAGCATACGACACAATTCTTTGACAATATAAAAGACACACTAAAAAACTAACATTAGGGTACCCGGTAGATATATATTTGGGGGTGACTGTGAGACTGGTTATATATGAAAAAAATCACAAATACAAATATTACGGATGAAAGCGAACCTGTAAGGAAAGTGGTCGACCCTTGGGCATGTCGTAGTTGATGTTGTTGATATTTTTATGGTCGTCTTCTTGATAGCGAAAGAAACAGTATGCGATAGCCGAAACGAGAGAGCCAAATAGTTTCTCTAGGACGTTAGCCATAGGCAATATGTTCCTTAAATATGTAAGGAAGGACCGGAGAGAAGGGAAGACGAAGTTGAGGCCAGCTCTACAAGATATTCCTCAAAGGCATCTCTTCCTTGTGTTTAATCTCTTTGTAATATATTCCAAACGAAGTTGGGTAATACTATTCCATTGACTAGTTAGTTTCTTCTCTTGCGCTAAATTAATTGGAGTTGAGATAGGGATGTGGGTCATCACTTTCCTAGCTGATAGGTTAATTGATATATTCAAACCCTATAGACATGCTAGGGAATGGAATCTGAAACCCTCAAATTAATGCTTGAAATGTGGGTGAAGCCAACATGGTTGCTGGCAGTGGCACTCATATAAGAGAGAATATCAGGTCTCTTGGGAGAGGAAATGAATGGGCTTAAGGAAGTAAAGGTGGGTTTTGATGCAAAGGAAGCAGATATTCTAAAGAAATCTCCTTTTTCCTCCATATTGGAAAATCACTGCCAAAGCAACACTTATCTACAAAGATATATTCCCACATTGCTATATGTTAGGCTTTCTTTATGTACCGTGGGGATATCAGTACCTACGGGCATATATATATATACACCGAGAATACAGCATATTTGGGTTCTACAATTTGATATTAATTTGTAAGCAAACCACAAATTGTAAAATAACAATATTAATTGGACTTAATAATCACAACCATTGATTTTATCATGGTTTCCAATATTTATTGAAATCCACTACACAGATACCATGTTCTTCGGAAACATTACTTATAAACTGACCCCGACCCAGAGGAATAAGTATTAAATGTGTGTGCAGGTTTTTGAATTTCGTGGCAAAATTCTAGGAAATATAGACTTGGGTTATGAAAATTCTGCACATTTATGGATGGGGACAATGCCTCTACATGTATATGTATATCATGGTCTACCACTCCAGTGGCATCTGTATCAATCTTATCTATATACAACGCGGAAAGGATTGTGATGACGCGGAAGTGAATTTTCTAAGGAATGTTGGCTTAAAGATTATTCGCACTAAAAATAAAAATCTGCCATTACACCTTTACTTATTAAAATAATTCGTCGTTAGTTGTTAAGGTGTTGCGCAACTGCTTTTGTGCATAATCCCACTAAAAAATTGGAAATTATGAATTAGTTTCCAAACAGACAATTAATTATAATAATATTAAGGCCCTCGTCCCTACACACTTGAGTGACAATCACCTGCGTCAAAAGAAATTTTTTGGACCACAGATGAATATTAGAGTTGAGGGAGGGCCGATGATTGGTGAAGCTCTCCCAACCGCAGTGTAGGATCTTGGCATTAAAGAGGGACCTTCAAGAATGTAGGCTTTTGTTGTTGTCTTATTGTAGGTGGAGAATGAATGACACTGACACACGTGTTTAATGACAGTGTAATTAAAAATATGAAAGAACTGGAATTGTCTATTAACTGTCAGAACCGATCAATGTACAAAAGATTTTTCAGATAGGTGATATTAGTGAATATTTTCACACAAGTCGAAAAGTTTATCTTAAACGACTAATGCTATATAACTTAAATTTATAATTAAAATTTTTATCCCTAATGAAGTAGAATTATTAAATAAATGAGTCTTATTAATTTTTTAAATAGGATCCACTGATTCAATAGTTCCTCTTTATTTAGAATATAAATTTGAGTTACATAATATTTCTCGTCTTCAACAGGATAATTGTATGTGTATTGCCGGAGGAGCCAGTGATGAAGATATTACAAGTACTTGTGCAGACAAGGATGCCCACACCAACCCCTGTATAGGGATCAATGTCGTGTATGACAACGTGCCTATCTACAATTGCTTCGATTACAACTATATCAAGGGCCGCTCACCCCGTGTCAGGTATCTCAAGCATTATTTAAGTAGACACGACGTCTTTTCGGATACAACTTAGACTCAACCATCAAGAAAGAGACACATCTTTCGAGGAAACAGGGGACAATCGAGGTAACGGGTCCCAACAAGTCACAAAGGGGTGTGACCGTGAGAGAGTCATGCCCGTGGTGCCTCTAGTGCACACGTACCCGGGATCCTCCTTTCTTTTTAGAACCCTTTTTCGAAGCCTTTGTTGAGGTACCCGATCAAAGATACTCACATAATTTTGACATTTCGAGACCCTACACATGACTAGGATTGACAATCATGTTCGTCGTCAATCATGTTCGTCCACAGCTATTATCTAATTTAGTTCTCATTTGAAGAAGGTCATATATCCTTGTTCCAAAGTAGGGACCCCTGCTCTTAATCTCGTGGTCAAGCAACAACATATCATTAGTTGATTTTACCACTATGGACATCAAATGGATTATATAGGTTCTCACAAGCGGTTTTGCTATGAGGGTATCCCTTGAGGATTTGCTAAGGACGCTATTCTTTACCATTCGCTGTCTCCCAATTATATGTCTTTTTACTTCCACGGTAGGGAGGTGGATCAGGTAGGTCATCCCAAGATTGTCCCCGTACTTCTACTGTTCCATTTTTGTTCCTTTTTGAACAAAGGTATGTATCACCCCTTCCGCTGTGAGTGAGGAGTGAGCACCTCCCATGGTACCGCGGCCCTTGCAATTCAATGGGGAACATCTTGTCAGGTCTCCTTTTGTTTTGTTACGTGTTCCTCTGTGGTACGTACACGTGCTCTGATTTTATAAACTATTACGCATATTAAGACAAGTGAAAATTATTGGCCAAGTGGTCCATTATCTTTTTATGCCAGTAAGTACGCCCATGGACTTTCTAATCTCCCAAGGACATGGTTCCAAATAAATCTCCCAAGGACATAAGATTCTAAAATATGATGTGAGTGGTCTATAAGTATTAACTTTTATATTTTTAATAACACTAATACCTTTTATCTCTATCACTTGAGATAAAATAAGATTTTTTTTTTTATCTTTTTCTCTTATCTCTCTCACACTTTAATCATTATAGACGGCGTCGTGAGGGAATGAGCTCCAATGACATGGCAAACCTATTGAAAACCCTTGAATAATAAAGTTGATGTCTACCACCATAATAAAATGAATCAAAGGCTAAATCATGCTATCAAACAAGCTTCAACCAATCAAAGCCATAAAAAAACAAAATAGTGTTTGAATTAACTTAATAAAAACACTTTTTGTTAAGGAAAAATAATGTAAGCACTTAAATAAATTAATAAAAAAAGGTAAAAATAATTAAGTTCTACTTTTAAAAATCATTTTTCATTTTTCGTTCTATTTTCTCCTCTCACTCCCCCAATACCTCTCTGCAAGCCCCCGAGGCCAAAGCCCTTCATGTAGTCGCTTCTCTCTAGACGCCGATGCCAATGCTGGCAATATATTCTCTCATCTCGCCAACCAACGACACTATCTTCTCTTTCGCCAACTATCAACGACGCCGGAACCGTCTTCTCTCTCACCGATCTTTGTTGTATGCTGGTCTAACCAAATCTCTTCAAACGAGGTACAATATCAATGAGATTTTCCTGGGAAAATCTGCCGGAGATTTTCTCAAGTCATAGGTGAGTTCAACTCTTTCAATTTATTATACTGTCACCTACATCAATGGAAATCTTATGCTACACTGTGCGTGTACGATCCTACATAATATAAACACTAGAACAGATCTCTTTTATGGTGAACACGTGTTCGTCAATCGGGTGGTCGATCTTGCTACTTAGAACAGGTTGTGAGGGTCGAAGGTGGCCCAAGGAGGATAATGAATCGTTTTTATGAGTCGCTGAATGATCCTGAGAGGCTCTTGGAACAGAGAAAAACAAGTTAGAAGGGCGCCGGAGTGTTTTTCGGCGTATCCCCTCCGACGATCAAGTCAGTTATTTGAGAGAGGGAAATAAGAAAACACTGTATGATGGTTGAGAGAGGGTTTGTTCCGTACATATTTTCTGTGTTTGTGAGGACTATTTATACCTTAAAAACTCATCATTGCTGACAGTGTAGCTAGTAGATAATCATTGGAGGTGGGCATACACCAATTTCTATGAGTAATGTTCTTATTCTTTGCTGCTCAGGAGCCCGAGCAACTAATGCTTTCTCCTCGGTCTGTCGAATGTTTAATGATCTTCCCTCGGCGGGGGTATATTAAATGCCCAGGCTTTGGGACATTTATTACCTTTCACTTCCAAGTTCTCATACATTAAATGTTGTCTCATCAAGGGAAGGGTGCATTAAATACTTGTTTTTCCAAGTCGTGTGTCAGCAAGGGCATTCTGATCTTTTTGTCTCTAATCTGACACAATATGCCACGTGCCCATTACCCTTTGGTTGAGTCTTCTGCTTTCTTATGCCTCCTGACACCATTTGAGTAAGACGAGATCATGATGGCTAGTCAATAGCTAGTGATCTGTTCATCAATAGCCCCTGCAGGAGCAGAAACTCTCACGCAGATAGATACACCTCGGTACCGAGGGACTAGCATGATTTAGGACCGATATACCCAAACTGCCGAGGAATACGTGTCGGTCCATGGTGGTTTGGGGATCAGTGATCCCTGTGAATAACATCCTCGGGGAAGGGGGGTTGGAAACCGACGAAGACGTGTAGGGATCAGAGCGGGAGAGTCTCCATTGACGCCGAGTACACGTGTTATCATCTGGGAGTGTCTAGAAATGTCCCATCATACACATACTCCGCTCTGTATCTCTGTGGACAAATATTATATATGTGTGTGTTTCTGAATTGTTATGTAGTTTGGATATAGATTAATTAGCTTTTCACATTTGTTTTCCTACTAAGAACTTGGGATTCAACTGAAGAATCGAACTGAAAGTGTTAATCTGTTCTTATGTTTGTGTGAAGTTGATTGTTTCGCCAGGTGTTTGATATGATGCCAATGAGAGTTTGTTACTTTGAAATAGGTTGGAGATTGTGCTAGTAGATGTTGCACATCTTGTGTCTTAGCAAGCCAGAGAGGTTGGGAATTGGAATGTGGGTATGGTTTTCGGAATGTGGGTTGATGTATTTTGGTTTGCATTTTT